AAGCTTATATAATTTTGTCATACTATGCTTTAAAAAATCAAAAGCATCAATTTATCTAAAACCAATATACAACTTAGACATGCACAAATTCAATTTCAGAAAAATCTATCTACATTTTACATAGGAAAAAGTATTTCAGAAGACTCAAATATTTAGAGAAAATAACATGAGAGGAGACTAGAATATAAGACCCAAATAGCATACTTAAAATTTCATTTTCCTAAACTGAATTACTTGATTTTTATCAGAATTTTAAAATTTAAGCTGTAAATAAAACTCCTTTGATCTTCTGTACCACATCATCAAATAAAATCTAGTCAAAACATGTGTGTAGATATACTGTCAAAAAAGTCAAAGCAGAGAAAGGACATCTGTGAAAACAGTCTTATTTGTCTTGTTTCTTAAACTACAAAATGCATTTGAAAAATGTACTATTGGAACTTAGTAAAATTCTTTATTTAAAAATGATTTTTAAAAATTACTCTTTGTCAAATAAATAGTAAAACAAAAAAGCGCTTACTGTGTTAATGTTTATTCTCTATAAAAAAAGTCACATATTTAATTTTCATAGCAATCTGGAATGCAAATCTCTTTTCTTCCTTTAATTTTAAACTGATTGTGACATTTCCCTACCAAGAATAACTAAATAAATATTTTTACTTATTCGATTGCTCTAGTAGCCTGCTTTTCAGTTTGTCAAATGCTTTCTAGTGTCTTTATCTTTAAAAAATACAATAATTTATTTCTTCTGTCTGCATTAGATATTATTGCAAGTGCAGAAAGAACTTTATGCAGATAGAAAATGTACTACATTCCTAGATTTGTTTGAGCTCCATTAAGTCAAAACCCCCAGGCTTATTTTCTAGTTGGAAAGACATGAAACATATAATTGTAGAGAAACTTTTCAACAAGACGTGATCTGAGCATATTTTCCATATCCATCTTTTATAGCAACGAGTCAGTGTTCACACCCCCTTATAAATATGAAGACAGAAGCCACATTAGTAATAATGTGAAAATGGAAATAAGTATCGGGGATTCTACTGACCACTCAGGAAAGGGTACACTAAACTTGCCAAATCCATGAGAACTAAATAGAGAAGAACAACTAAAAAGATTAAGGGAGGCATGGGGGTGGAGAGTAGGTCGTATCTTGAAAATAGAATAAAAGGATTAGAACTCTTGTCTAGAAGAACAAAGGGTAATTGTTACATATCTGGTATCTGTAAAAATCACCAAAAAAAAAATCTATATAGATATCTAGGACAAGCAAGGATTTTTAAAGTAAATTTTAGGATGCTAGAATTGGTAGAGGCAATAAGATAGAATTAAGCCTTAAATTAGAAGCTTATGATGGACAGGTTTTTAAAAAGATTTAAAATATTGCTACAGTGGGCAGCAACCTTTAGCTTAGGCACCTCATTATTTAAGGAGGAGATACAATATGAAAATAGATTAGATAAATTAATGTGTGACAGATTCAAATAGCTGTCAAAGGAAGGAAGCAGTTTCAGACAGTTACCAGGCCTTGCTGTCCACTTTTCTGTCACATAACACAGTATGGTCAGATTAGTAGCCCTAAAGCAAATCTCCGAGGATGGCTCTCTATCCCAAAAATTCTCAATGGCTTCCCAACATGTGCAAAACAAAGTCTCAAGTTCTCTTATTTTGCATGACCTCATCATCAGGACAATTCCTGCTTCCTACACTCACCTTTATGTACCCTATAATCCAGCCAAACTCAGCTAGTGCCATTTCCTTAATTACACCCCAGATTTCCCATCTGTTTCCTTGTTTTTGCTCTTTTCTCCACTCATGCCTTTCCCTCCACTGCCACAGATCAAAATGCTCCCCAATCTTCTAGCCCCAACTCAAATGCCAACTTCTCCTTAAAGTTCGCTCTGATCTTTCACTGAAATTTTCTTAGCATCTTATTTATAGCATAACAATTATTTATCTATGTGTGTTTCTTTTTTCTCCACCACCTACACCTTATCCTAGGTATCTTCCATATTGGAGCTTGTCTTTGAATCTCCTCTAATAGGTCCCCTTGTAGCTAGTGGGTGTTCAATAACTCTTATTAAATGAATGCTTTCTTTCTAGTGTTAAAGTTTTATGAATAATTATTTTCTTTCCTACAGTCACAAATCAAGAGTTAAAGGTTATCTGAGATTAAAAATGACTTATTTACCTAAAACCAGTGGCTCAGAAGAAGAGAACGCAGAACAGGCTGAGGAATTAGAGGTGAGATGTTATAAATATTTGGTTAAACTAAAAAGTATATATCTAATTTCTTATTTTACTATACTCTGAAGAAAGATAACTTTATTCAGTGAAGTTAATGTGTGCAATAAAAATTATTTACATGGACACGTATTTCACCTAAGCATTCATTAACAATTTCTTTCCTCTAAGGATAGTTCTGTAGAATGGATGGTGGTTATTGATGGCCTTCTTAAAGGTTAGGGAGTAGAGAATACAATGTTTATAAATGAAAACACTTATTGTAATTAGGTCATTAACTGTTTCTAGTTTTTCAAAGTTTTCTAAACTATGTCATGTTCTCCATTAAAGTAAGAACGCAATTTATTATTTGGAAGTTAAATGTATGGACATTTTGAGAGGACTTCACTAATTAGGAAATCTCTCATGAAATGGAATTCCTGTTACTTTTCCTATTATTATGGGGGGGGTCACAGAAAAGAGGGGGAATGAGAAAAAGGGAGAGAATTCAAATGATCTAAGAAAAAGCCATATTTACTTGGGGCGAGTAGAATTTAACAATTTTTATGGCTGACAGAATAGTCCAGGTCAAGTGTTTGGGTAGAGCTACATTGCATCTGGGGTGAGTGAAGAGGAGGCAGAGAGTATGTATTTGGAATAGAATTGGATAGGGATTTGGGGGGGGTTAAATTTTTTTATTTTAAAATATTACAGGGGTACAAATGTTTTTGGTTACGTGGATCACTTTTGTAATCCTTGAGTCAGGGCTATAAATGTGCCCATCACCCGGATAGTATTCATTGTACCCATTAGATAGGTTTTTGCCCATCCCCTCTTCCCTCCCACACACTCATGTGTGCTCATCGGTTAGTTCCAATTTAATAGCGAGTACATATGGTGTTTGTTTTTCCATTCTTTAGATACTTCACTTAGGATAATGGTCTCCAGTTCCATCCAAATTGTTGCACAAGGCATTAATTCATCCTTTTTATGGCTGAGTAGTACTCCATAGTATACGTATACCACATTTTGTTAATCCATCCACTCATGAATTGATGAGCACTTGGGTTGATTCCACATCTTTGCAATTGTGAATTATGCTGCAATAAACATTCCAGTGTAGGTGTCTTTTTGATAAAATGACTTCTTTTCCTTTGGGTAAATACTTAGTAGTAGGATTGTTGGATTGAATGGTAGGTCTCCTTTTATTAGTAGTACTTTGAGGCATCTCCGTACTGTTTTCCATAGAGGTTGTACTAATTTGCAGTCCCACCAACAATGTATAAGCGTTCCTGTGTCTCTGTATCCATGCCATTATCTATTGTTTTTGGACTTTTTAATATTAATAAAAGCCATTCTAACTGGAGTAAGGTGATATCTCATTGTGGTTTTAATTTGCATTTCCCTGATGATTAGTGACATTGAGCATTTTTTCATGTTTATTGGCCATTTGTCTATCTTCTTTCAAAAAGCTTCTGTTCTTTTGCTTAATTTTTAATGGGATTGTTTGTTTTTTTCTTGTTG